AGAAATGGTATGGACCTAACAGAAGCAGAAGAGATTAAGAAGAGGTGGCAAGAATACACAGAAGAACTGACCTTAATGACCCAGATAATCACAATGGTGCGATCACTCACCTACAGCCAGACACCCTGGAGTGTGAAGTCAAGTGGGCCTTAGGAAGCATCACTACAAACAAAGCTAGTGAAAGTGATGGAATTCCACTTGAGCTATTTCAAATCCTAAAAGATGATGCTGTCAAAGTGCTGCACTCATTATGCCAGCAAATTCAGAAAACTCAGCAGTGGCCACAGGACTGGAAAAGGTCAGTGTTCATTCCAATCCCAAAGAAGGGCAACACCAAAGAATGTTCAAACTACCACACAATTTCACACGCTAGCAAAGTAACGCTCAAAATTCCCCAAGCTATGCTTCAACAGTATGTGAACCGAGAACTTCCACATGTTCAAACTGGATTAAGAAAAAGCAGAGGAACCAGAGAACAAATTGACAATGTCCATCGGATCATGGGAAATGCAAGCGAATTCCAGAAGCACATCTATGTCTGCTTCATTGACTACACTAAAGTCTTTGTGTGGATCACGGCAAATTGTGGAAAACTCTTAAAGCATAGTGTTACCAGACCACCTACTGCCTCCTGCAAAACCGGTATGCAGGTTGAGAAGCAACAGTGAGAAAAGAGACATGGAACAACAGACTGGTTCCAAATTGGGAAAGGAGTACATCAAGGCTGTATACTGTCACCCTGCTTATTTAACTTACATACAGAGTATATCATGCGAAATGCCGGGCTGGATGAAGCACAAGCTGGAATTAAGAAATATCAAAAACCTCAGATATGCAGATGACACCACCCTTATGGCAGAAAGCAAAGAGGAACTAAAGAGCCTCTTCATGAAGGTGAAAGAGGAGAGTGAAAAAGCTGGCTTAAAACTCAACATTCAAAAAATGAAGATCATGGCATCCAGTCCCATCACATCATGGCAAACAGACGGGAAAATAATGTAAAAAGTGACAGACTTTATTTTACTGGGCTCCAAAATCACTGCAGATGGTGACTGCAGCCATGAAATTAAAAAGACTCTTGATCCTTGGAAGAAAAGCTATAACAAACCCAGACAGCATATTAAAAAGCAGAGGCATTACCTTGCCGACCAAGGCCCATATAGTCAAAGCTAGTTTTTCCAATAGTCACGTATGGATGTGAGAGTTGGACCAGAAAGAAGGCTGAGTGCCGAAGAATTGATGCTTTTGAACTGTGATGTTGAAAAAGACTCGAAAGTCCCTTGGACTGCAAGGAGATCAAATCAGTCAATTCTAAAGAAAATCAATCCTAAACATTCATTGGAAGGATTGATGCTGAAGCTGAAGCTCCAATACTCTGGCCACCTGATGCGAAGAGCCAACTCACTGGAAAACACATTGCTGCTGGGAAAGACTGGCAGAAGGGGACGAGAGGAGTGGATGGTTGGATGGCATCACCGATTCATCACCAACATGAATCTGAGCAAACTCTGGGAGATGGTAAAGGACAGGGAAACCTGGCATGCTGCAACCCATGGGGTTGAAAGAGTCAGACACCACTGAGCGACTGAACAATCACACCCTGAAAGCTTCTAACACATGATGTTATTGTAATCATCTCTGACTACTTGTTATTGTTGTTGTTTAGCTGCTCAGTCCTGTCTGACTCCTTGTGAACAGAGACCATAGCCCGCCAAGCACCTCTGTCCATGGGATTCGCCAGGCAAGAATACTGGAATGGGTAGCCATTTCCTGCTCCAGGGGATCTTCCCAACCCAGGGACTGACCTGGCATCTCATGCATTGGCAGGCTTCTTTACCACTGAGTCACCTGGAAAGCCCAATGCGGCCCTCATCTCCTGGCTTAAATGCTCGGCCAATCAGATCCTGTCTCCCCTAAGAACTGAAGGGAGTGTGCTGGTATTCTGCTGGTCACCTGAACTGCGAGTGGCAAAATGTAGGGATGTCGCACTCTGCTATGACTGGACAAGAGTGCTAGTACTGGCCCCCAAGGCAGTCTCAAAGCGGAAATGGTCAGGCAGCCTCTTAAGGGGCTACGGGAGGGGCCTCATCAGGAAAAGCACAGGCACAGGAGTCACAGGCAGTGAGGTCTACATTCCCCAACTCTGGACCTTCTGCACAGGAGACACCAGCATTAGCCAGCAGTGACCTGCTCTGGTGACATGGGCTCCCAGGAAGTGGTCCCGAGTCATAATGGACAAAGATAAAGGAAATCCATGAGCCAAACATACAACATTCAGACCTGCTGGCCATTTCCTCTGCAGCCAAGAATTCAGGCCACAAACCAAGGCCCGTGATTTTTCCCTGTCCTTTAACTTACTTCACTGTCCCTGTGATCATCAGACTATAGTCTGAATCAGAAACCATTTAGAAAACACTTAATGTGTCTTCCTCTTTTCCTCCTTTCTAATTAGATTTTTTAGCCAGTTGTCTGATTTTCCCCTCAATGCCATGTCATATAAGCAGGGTATTGTTTATCATTCAATTTAGCTCACGGAGTGCAGGAGGACAGGTAGGGGACACCTCGTGGACCTGAAGGAAACTGGACAGAGCAGTACAGCTTAGGCTCTGAGGAGCGCGGACTCTGCAGTTAGACCTCTGAAGTTAAAAATCCCAAGTCTTCCAGTATCAAGCTGTGTGACTTCCGTCTGGTCATTCAACCACTCTGGGCCTCACTTTTTGTGAGAACTATTTAAATAAGTATGTGTGTAAAGTTCTGAAACCAAAGCCAGGTACATAATAAGCACTTTATTATAACGGATATCTGCCACCATTATCATCAAGGTTTGCAATGAGGAGTGGGGAGAGCTACAGCACATCTTTAAGTGCAAACGATGCTATTAAGCAGTACAGCAAAATCTGGGGTGATAACTCAGCATTTGCATAGCTCATACCCTCCTCACTTCTGAAAATTCTCCTGTTTCCTAAGGCAACCTGTGGGGGAGGGGCCATCTCCTAGCAAGTGCAGAGAGAAGCAAACACAGCTAATTTACAGAAAAAAATGATGAAGCTGACCCACAAAATAAAACGGGAGAGAAGAGAGGGCTGAGGGCCAGAGATGAGAGTGGAGGGAAAGAGAGGGAGACAAAGACAGAGAGAAAAATCTTGGTTTTCAACCACTTTTCCAGTTCCTGGTTCCACTCCAACCTATAAGCACTGACTGCCTTTTCTGCCCTCCGTGGTTGTTCAGTCGATAAGTCATGTCCTACTCTTTTGCAATTCCATGGACTGGAGTCTGCCAGGCACCTGTGTTTATGGCATTTCCCAGGCAAGAATATTGGAGTGGGTTGTCATTTCCATCTCCAACGGATCTTCCTGACCCAGGGATCGAACCTGCATCTCCTGTATTGCAGATGGGTTCTTTACCACTGAGCCAACAGGGAAGCCCTTTTCTGCCTTTCACCAATAAACTCTCCACGTTTTATTAAGCTGTGACCAACATTTGTAAAATGTCTAACACAAGTCTTGGAAAAGTTTTCATCAACAAAAAGCTTAGAAGAGGGCAAGTTACATATACACATTAGTACACAAAAACTAAGACAATATTGCAGATACAAGTAACCACAAACTTCAGTATCCTCAATCCACCCTACATCTGATGCATTAATTTACACAGGTAAGGCTCAGGCCTTGTTGTTTCAAAAGCTCTACAGGTGTTATTAGCTCTACAGCTGAGACTCACCACTACACTTAACCAAACGAACATCCTTTACCTACTAGCAAGTTCTCTGAATAAACTAGCATAGTGCATAAAACGTATTAATATACTTTTCACCGGGAATTAAGTAATTTTCGAAACAGCTGGAGAGAAAATGGCAGGAACTACTCAAACCAAAACAATTCACCTTTCTTTTGCCGATGTTCACCAAAGCAGCCAGGTAACCAGCCAAATACACCCCACTCCAAAAATCCGTAATAAACATACACACTGAATCTTTTACCAGATTCCACTTTCTTCTTATTCTGAAAAAGTAACGCTAACAACACACGTCTATGTTGTGCAAACTGATTGCAGTTAAAAGTTTCTATTCATCCGTTCTTTGAAGACTATTTACTTTTTAATCAGGATTTCCCTCAAGTATCTTATTTATGCCGTAACTCAGCGGTCCATTAAAAAAAAAAATATGGCTCGTTTATCACAATTCTATCTCAGTTAGGGCTTTGAAGGTTATCAGCTCCGGGAAAAAATATATATATATCTTTTCCGTTCTAACCTCAACACAGCCCATTTCAAACCTCTACAATGCAAGCGTTATCAACAATAAAGTTATGACCTTGTTCGCATGACAACACGGACTTTGCGGAGTTCTTACCCATAGTACTAAGAAAAACACCAAGGTTTAAGGCCGATGATGAAAGGCAGGATTCCCAAAAGACTACGCTCCTCTCCAAGACGTGCAAGGAGCACTGATGGGAGGAAGGGGCCTTCCTCGTGACAGATCGTCCGGAACAGCAGTAGCATCACCCCAAGGAGAAAGAATTCTAAAAGCAACTTCACGTTTCCGAAAACAGCCTCCCACTCAAGTCAGTGGCCCGGAGACTGAAGAATCGCCAGACACGTACACCCCTCGCGAAGGTGGAAAAGCAAACCCCACTCCCGACTTCATCCCTTAAAATAAATGGGGGAAGTTGGGTCCCCAGGAGCCCCTGGCGAGAGCGGCCGCGGCCCCTCGCGCCAGGTGTGTGTACCCCCGACGGACCCCACGGGTCGGCTCACCCTGGGCCCCAGGGCCCGCCACCCCTGCGTGGCCCGGGCGTCCTCCTCCGCCGAGCGCTCCCCCCGCGGCCGCGCGGGCGCCTGCTCGGACGCCGGCCAGGCTCGGAGCTCGGAGCTCCGCCAACCGCTCCCCGCGAAACAAGAAGGTGGCGGCCGGCGACGCTGCGGTTTCCCCGCCTCCCCTCCCCTCCTCTCCCCTCCCCTCCCCCGCGGCCTCCGCTCTCCACTCCCGCGCCCCCGCTTACCCTCAACTCCTCGAAATCCGCCATTTTATACCACCCGCGGGCGCCGCCGCCGCTGCCGCCACAGCACCCCCGCCCGCTGCCGCCAACAACGCCGCCGCCACCACGGCCGCCGCCGCCGCCTCCAGCACCATCCTGCACTGGGGGCCGCTAAATACGCCGCGGCCGCCGCCGCCGCTGCCGCCGCCGCCGGGCCTGTCACGTGATAGGCGCTGGAGCCCCGCCCCCGGCGAGCGCGGCCCCGCCCATCCAGCCCACAGCCTTCCGCCCGCGTCTTCCGCCCACGAGCCGGCCCTCCCCGCGCGGCGCTCTCCTCGCCCGCGGGTCCCCGCCCTTTCCCGCGGCCTGCCCGCCTGCCCGCACGCCTTCGGGCCAACCCGGGTCGGTAGCCGTGCAGCCCTCTGCCTCCGGTCACCGGCTGGATGCCAGGCCTCAGTTCCTGAAGCTCCGGGGCGACTGCAGCGTTACCGGAGGGCCTGGGCGGAGGGAGTGACGGATAAGAGGTGGCCTGGGACTCGTGACTGGAACATTTAGGGAAAATTCTTACGGGGCCCTTCCCCACGGTGGCTGCGGACAGAGGGGTCCACCCAAAATAAAGGCATCCCCTGGGTTAGTTGCGGCGGAGCAGCCTAAACGTGGATGTTGGATAAGCTATTGTTCCCATCTCGTGGTGCAGGGTTGGTAAGACCTCTTTGGGTTGCCAATAGCCTCAAAGTGCTAACCTGGCTAGTTCTTTCTGACTTTGAAGGGCGACTGAATGTCAAGGATTGCAGAGTTGAGCAGGTTGGGGGAGGGAAGTTGGAGAAGTGAAATAGGAGCGCGCCCAGAAGGGCCCTGATAGAGGGGTCAGGGAAATCAGATAGGTGGGAAAGATGAAATGCCAGAGGCAGAGACGATGGAAGTTTCACCTCACCCCTGAAGTGCTGACCAAGGATGAGAGACAAGGTGCAGAGTCAAGCTGGTCAGAAATTAGCTGGACCAAGTCTGGGATTCAGGTTTCCTTGAGGTGGATGGAGCCCATTTCAGACACCTAATGTTGACCCCTGGACCAAAAATAGTTTTCCAGTCTGACTTTTCACCTAATTCCTGTTCATCCTTCAGATCTCAGTTTAAGTATCACTCTTTCAGAAAGACCTAAACCCACGTGGCGCCTGTGCTGTGCTTAGTCGTTCAATCGTGTCCGACTCTGTGACCCCTATGGACGGTAGCCCGCCTGGCTCCTCTATCCATACGGATTCTCCAGGCCAAAATACTAGAGTGGTTTGCTATGGGCTCCTCCAAGAGATCTTCCCAGCCCAGGGATTGAACCCTGGTCTCGCGCATTGCAGGCGGGTTCTTTATCATCTGAGCCGCCGGCGCCATTTTCTTTCAGATCCGTCTCTGACCGCTCACAGAACCGGAAACTTTCCTTCCTGGTGTTTTTACAGGGTAATTATGTAGGTCTTTGTGTAATTATTATATAAATAATTCATGTTACCTTTTTTCCTTAAAAATGTTTTTAAACCCACTAGACAGTAATGACTGACAGATGCCTGAAAAATTGTTGGCCTCCTATTTGTTTAGTGAGTGAAAGAATGAACAGTATCAGGCTAGAGTACCTTCTTATTCTGGCTTTCCACCATTGATTTCGTGGTCTCAGTTTGACTTAGTTTTGATATTGGCTTATTAGTCTTAGGCCTTGACTTCCACCTCAGAGTTTAACATTGTTCAACAGACATTTAAGTGAAGGCCTATGTGGGCTAGGAGCTTTAGGGGAATATATGAGTAGAATATAATACAGCCCTTCCTCCAAGGCACTTACCACCCACGAGAGGCACTGACATGCAAAACCAAGAATAGCCATGCTACAATTACTGAAGTGTTCATTGTAGGGTTGGGTAGCTTTGCCTGCAAAGAGTCTAGATGCTGTCTTAGACTGGCCTAAACCACTACTTGGTCTCAGCAGGCCAGATTACCAATTGGGCATCTTTCCTAAACTATACTCCCTAGTATTAATTCAATATTTGTTTAAAGGAAAGGCTGAATGGTAATGGGTAAAAAGCAAGTCTCTTTTTACTGTCATAAACAATTTAGCTCTGATCCAAATTTGTAAATCATACTCATCAAAAAGAAATCTCTGAACTTAGTTGGATATAACTTCTTTATAGTGTAGTATAATACATCCTTGGATGAGATTTGAGGAAGGAGGTAAGTACCAAAGTCTCACCGTTACTGTAGACCACATACCTAACTACCACACCTGCCATGTATAGAACTATTCCCCTATAGGAATTCCATTTAACAATTTTCTCCTCATTACATTTTTAAGTGATTAAATATGATAACACTTTATGGATTGAGGTTCTAGGCAGTTACCTGGCTGAACCACCCCCTTTATCTAGCTCCAATTAAAAACATAAGTATTGTAATTAAAGTTTCCTGTGGCTCATATGGTAAAGCGTCTGTCTGCAATGCAGGAGACCCAGGTTCGATCCCTGGGTTGGGAAGATCCCCTGGAGAAGGGGATACAGCCCCCTCCAGTATTCTTGCCTGGAAAATCCCATGAACCACGGAGCCTGGTAGGCTACTGTCCATGGGGTCGCAAAGAGTCAGACATGACTGAGCGACTTCATTTCAAGTTTATACTACACAGACTCAAAAGTCTCACAAGTAGTTTTTCCACATATTAGCTGTCTTATGTATGGCAAAGTCTCAACTCAGTTTTTCTAATCTATTCCAGATCTCAGGATGTTGAAGAATTAAATGAGATCAGGAATTTTAGTATACTTTATAAACTTACCTTTGATAGGTGATTGTTTTTGTATTTAAACAGCTGATAAGCATACACCAAAAAAAATATTAAGCACTTAAATATCTATATGATATATTCCAGTACTTTAGAAAAGAATATTCTCTTTTCTAGTTGGATGATGCATGAGATACTGAATTTACTTTCCAAGCACCTGTCTTCTTAATCCTTTCCCTGCCTATCTGTAGACCCATCAGTCTCTTGATCTCAGTATCTCTCATTTTGTTTCCACTGATTTCTTCCTTTTTCCCTGTATCCATATTCAAGGCTCCTAGATAGTTCCAAGACACCTTTGTTGCTTTGCCAAGCGCACATCTATTTTAATCAGATTTCTTCACATCTTTTGCACTTTGCCTTAGCCTTTACTGAATAGTATCAAAAGAAAATGAACAATGAATTTATCTTTTATATTCCCATTTTTAACACAAAATTTGAAAGCATAACAATAAATATCTATACTTTCCAACTAGATTCAGCAATTATTAATATTTGAACAATTTTTATTAAGGTATAAATAACATAGGTAAACCCTCGTATCTTAAGTGAACTCTTCATCTAGTTTTGAAAAATGTTTATCAAGACACAGCACTTTCATCACCCAAGAAAATTCCCTTCTGCTCCTTCTCAGTCAAACCTCCCACCAGAAATAATCAATGATCTGATTTCTAATAGTGTAGAGAGAATTTTAAAATGAGGCAAACTTCTTTATTTATTTTAAAATGCTGTTATAACCTCAGTGCCAAAACCAGACAAAAATTAATTCTCCTATCTAAATATAAGTAGATTTTACCCCAGTAATGCAAGGATGGTTTTACCCTAGGATATATGTTAGAGACTTGGTAACTTGGTACAACTCAACAACTGAGAACAAAATTCTGGATTTAGAAAATCATTAACAGGCAGCATACTCTTTCTAGCTTCTGCTTGCGCTTAGTCTCCGGTGCTGCCGTGTAGACTAAGTGAAGTAGAACCAAGAAAGAAGTTTTACCTCACCAACCAATTTTTGGAGGTCTTGTGAGATCAAACAAGACCAAAAAAAAGAAAGAAAAAAAAATCATTAACAAGTTCCAAGAGTAAAGAGTTATATGGTCAAAATCGTAGAAGGCAATATTTCAGGCATTTAAACTGAACATTTATCCTGAGGAATTTGACAATCAGAAGTAAAATCTATAAACTGGGACTTCCCTGGTGGCTCAGTGGTGAATCCACCTGCCAATGCAGGAGACAAGAATAGTGGGTTAAATCCCTGTGTCAGGAAGATCTCTCGGAGACGGAAATGGCAACTCCCACTCCGGTATTCTTGCCTGGGAAATCCCATGGACAGAGGAGCCTGGCGGGCTGCAGTCCGTGGGACTACAGAGTCAGATAGGACTTAGCAACTAAACAATGACAAACTGAGATATAACATCTGCAGAGTCCAATAAGCAACCCCGATATTTAATACAAGACCCCACAGAGTAGAGATAAACCAGAAATGTCAGCGTGTCCACAAATTGCATTCAGTTTTTATGCTAATCAGGAAATCTCACTCCTTGAATATTGAAAAACAGGTCCAGGATGGTACTCTACAGACACTGGGCAGAAACAAAAATTCTCTCCAGGTAAAGATCATATCACTCCAAACCTCAAATTAACCTACAGACAATTTTCCAAGTTAAATGACCAACACGTAATCAAAAATCAGAAAAAGACTGCAATAAAAACATGCTTACACAAGTAAGTAAATTAACAAGCAAACCTTGAAAAATATTATAAATACTCTAGACTTGAGAAGTTAAAAAACTCAATGGGTAGGTTTAATAGTATATTACACACAATTTAAGAGAATAACTGGAACATGTTAGAATGCTAGAATGAAGGTAAGGGAAACAAAAAGATGGAAAATGTGCAAGAAAATGTTAGACATAAATTTGAGACAGAGAAGATAATGTTGAAAAAGTCTACCAAATGTTTGATTGGAGTCCTCAAAGAGCAAAAAACCAAAATGAGGCGGAAGCAATATATGACAAGATAAAATTGGAGATTTTCACACTGAGTGAAAAAAAAAACCACTGTGGGTAAAGGGTTAATAAAACCTTTTTCCTTTCCGCATGAAAACTTGAACTTCAGTTAATTTTCTAGCTCTTTTCAGCTGGAAACATAATAGAGGATTATGATAAAAATGACCTCTGATTAGTAAATTGCCTCTGGACCAGGAAGAACTATAAATGGTCTACATTTATAGACCTGATGGAGATAC